TCAGACACACCCAAAATTTTCGATGCACACACATCTACAGGGAAGCCAACTATGTGGCTGATTCTCTATCTAAGCATAGCCACAAAATGACATGTCCCCAAATATATTGCAACAGTCAACAATTACCAAAAGCAGCAAAAGCATATTATCAATTAGACATGATCGAGATGGCTAACTTCAGAAGAAGGAAAATCAAGCTAATCAAAGAACCACCTTGAGATGGTTCAAATCTCCTTAACTTAGCTATGTCTTAAAAACATAGCTCTTTTGAATAGGTATAGGCTTTTTTGGATATTGTAAGGGGAGAGTCTCCCTTATTTAAAATTCCTAGATACTTTGTAAAGAGAGGAGTCCTCTCTTAGATGCTTAGTATTTTGGTTTACCTTTCTTTGTAAGGGGAAGAGTTGACTAACATTAGGTAGGTCGACTACTGAACCACCATAGGATCAGAGGTCAGGTTTATGCCCCCCTCTATGTATTTTGTCTTTTAATCAATGCTAAGGCCTGGGGGTGTTGCTCAGCCCCTACCCCTCCAAGGGTATTAAAATTAAAAAAAAAAAAAAAAAAAAAAAAACCCCAAACCCTAAACCTTGATTCCAAAACTCTAAACCCTAAACCCTGACCCTAAATCTTAAACCCTGAACCCTAAACCCTAACCCTAAGCCTATAATCCTAAACCCTAAACCTAAACCCTAATCCCTAAACCCTAAATATAAAATCCTAAAATTTAAACCCTAAACCCTAAACCCTAACCCTAAACCTGTAATCCTAAACCCTAAACCTAAACCCTAATCCCTAAACCCTAAATATAAAATCCTAAAATTTAAACCTCAAACACTAAACCCTAACTGTAAACCTTAAACCCTAGACCCTGAATCGTAAACCCTAAACCATACACCCTAAACCATACACCCTAAACCCTAAACCCTAACCCTAAACCATTAATCCCTAAACCTAAACCCCATACCCTAAACCTTGATTCCAAAACTCTAAACCCTGACCCTAAACCCTAAACCTTAAACCCTAAACCCTAACCTTAAGCCCGTAATCCTAAACCCTAAACTTGTAATCCTAAACCCTAAACCTAAACCCTAAACCCTAAACCCTAAACCCTATGGATTGTATCCCAAGAATAGTCAGTCAGGAATACAATGACAGACTGAAAGAAATCCCTTCCATGGATGAGCTTAAAGAAGTAGTCTATTCCATGAATCCCAACTCAGCTGCTGGTCCGGATGGTATGAATGGGTATTTCTTCCAGAAATGCTGGAATATTATCAACAATGACTTGATGGCAGTGATTCAAGCTTTCTTCAGTGGCCAGATGATCCCTAAATATTTTTCACATGCGTGTCTGATTCTCCTCCCCAAAGTGAAAAACCCGAACAGACTCAATGAATTCAGGCCCATAAGCTTAAGTAACTTCATTACCAAGATTATTTCTAAACTATCATGTCTCAGATTAGCTCCTTTATTACCTAGTCTGATTTCTCCAAATCAATCAGGCTTCGTAAAAGGTAGAAGCATATCGGAGAACATTATGTTAGCGCAAGAAATTATCCATCAGATTAAGAAACCTATTATTGGAAGCAATGTTGTGATCAAACTTGATATGGCAAAAGCCTACGATAGGGTTTCATGGTCATATATTTGTTTGATCTTGAGAAAGATGGGTTTTGAAGAGACTTTCATCGATATGATATGGAGAATTATGGCCAACAATTGCTATTCTATCATTCTTAACGGTAGAAGGTATGGTTTCTTTCATTCAACTAGAGGCCTTAAACAAGGCGATCCACTATCCCCAGCCCTATTTATTTTAGGTGCTGAAATGTTAACTAGGTCGCTGAACAGACTTCACCAACATCCTTTGTATCATGGCTTCTATATGGAGATGAGAGGACCTCAAATTAATCATCTAAGTTTTGCGGATGACATCATTATTTTCACTTCAGGGAGGAAGGATTCTCTCAAGCTCATCATGAAGACCTTGGCTACATATGAAAGGATTTCTGATCAACTGATCAACAAAGATAAGTGTCATTTTCTACTCCATCCTAATGCCTTCAGAACGACATGTGATAGAATTAAAAGGTATACGGGATTTCATCAAAAGGAGGCTCCTATTACTTATCTTGGCTGTCCACTCTTCATTGGTAGACCGAGATTGATCTACTTCTCTGATCTCATCAACAAGATTGTGAA